GAAACTTGGCCAGTGTTCAAAAAAAAAAAATACCACTACCAAACCAAACCAACCAACCCTTAAGTAATCCATGGTTATTCTGCACAGCATACTGTAGGGTTTTATTTTCAAATAAAATAGAGTGATGCCAAGGTCATGGAATGCAGCTGATATGATCAACCAAAAATAGATACCAAGCTCTACATTCTCCCTCATAATTAAAATAGTAAAATTAAACTCAATGTAAGCAGGCTGAAGCTAGACAACCACATTATTCTACTTAAGCATTAAATCACTGCCATCCATGTGGAAGAAAAACTGCATTTAGTGATGCTGTCACAAACTATACTACAGATCATTTACATAAAAGTATAGGGAATAAATGAAAATAACCTACTGGTGAATTTTTCTTGTAAAATTCCGTTACATAAGGCTTTTTGGTTTTTTAATTGTGACACAGAAATCAGAGACTGCTAAGAAGGAACATCAATCGATGGCGTTTATCTTAGCTTTGCAGAAGACGTAAAGAGGGGATTCTGCAGAGCTTGAAATGAAACAGAATTACACGCAACCCTTGAAACCTATTTTAATATCATGAGATTGAAGTCCAAACGTAAGTTGAAAAAAGTTAAACTCCTACAGTATTTTACCTTTTCTCCTTCAGACAGTAGCACGTAGCTCTTCATTATATTGCATATAAAAATGTTGTTACCTCATCTTTTCGTGAGCTTATGTCTCAGTTTCTCCATTTTTTTCAAATTGCATTTGAACTTGAAAATAAAGAATTTTTTGTAACCGAGCCTGATTGAAATAAACCACCCCTTTTTCCAAATACTTTAGAGCAAACTACTAAACAAACAAATGTTTCAGGGGCTATTCCTTAAAGGTATTAAGATGCTCCATCTGCATTCTGAAGTACCAATCTTTGCTTCTAGATACTAAGTGGAAGCTCCAATTGTACAGTCATGTAAAATCATTTCAGTCCTAAATCGTGAATTTAAAACCTTGGTTCTTTACAGTCTTATATCTATCAATAAAGTCAAAACTTACTTATGCACTCTTCCTGTCTGAGCCTGAAAGTAGTTAAACATGTCTATCAAAGAACACTTTCCAGCCCTCAAGTCCTCCAAAGGAATTTAACCTAGAGGTAAGTTTAAGGTGACTTTCAGAAGTGATCAAAACCTGCGAAGTCAAGCAATTTCTAGAATAAGGTGCTGATGTGTGCACTCATGAGTAGTTCTTCTTTACCTTGGTAATAATCAAGAAGTAACATTATTTGAATTTTTTTATGTTGACAGAAATGCAAATAAACATTAAGCTAAATGACTACTTTCATGTGTTGTACAGCAATTATGAATTAAAGCATTACATGGTGAAAGAAGGTTGGAAGACAATGCAATTCCAGAACCTCTACAAAACAACTGCAGCTAGATGCTTCATGGTGAGTTAATAAAAGTAAACAAAATTCCATTTTAATATTGATTTAATATCAATAGCCTAAAGATACTTGTAACTTTCAAGAAGATACAGACATAAAAGAATCCTAAAAAAGTACAATTAAAAGTTATAGTTTGTATCACTCCTTCCCCAAAATAGCCCCAGGCCAATGCAAGGACTAAAAGGATTTATTACCCTTCTGAGAAAGCTTCCCATCTTGTATAGCAAAAGTCTTCAGTGGCATCTCACTCTTACCCAGTACAGACACAAGAGTTAACTTGATACTAGCTCCACTTTAAAGGGAAGAGACCTTGAAGAGACAAATTTAAAGATAGTACAGAGATGACCCGTCCTACAATGCTGTGATAAACAAGAGGAGACAGGTGAGAAAGTGACCGTTATAGAAAAATTCTACAATGTACTGAGTGTTCAGCCGCTGGCAAGTGCTGCAGAGGAGATGTCACCATCTCATCCAGCAAACAGCCTCAGGGCTGCCAGAAAACAACTAAGAGGAATCATAAGCGTTACTATCTAAGCAAACGTAGCTTGGTCTGACAGCAATATGGAAGACAAGCACCCTGAGGTCAGGAGGTAAAACAATCTTCCTCCTGCTCCGTCAGGATCATCTCAGGCAGGTTCACCGACAGCCAAGTGGGCACACAGTACTTTTCAGTACTCGTCACTGTAGCCCTTATTTCTTTAGGAAAAAAGCAACTGTTAAACCATCTCTTAAAGAAAAAAAAAAAAAAAAAGTTGCTTTAAACATTACACATTCTAGAACCAACTACGACACAGCTTATAAAGAATTTAAAAGCCTTATTGCTTTTAAAAAAATACTAGCTTTAGCAACTTGCTTGTAACTTCTTCAGAGACAGTGCATGTACAACTCAAGCACACATTTGGCTGGCAACCTAAAAACGTTACTAAACAAAATATTTTAAGCAAGTTCCCAGAGACAATTCTAAATCAAACTAAAAATGTGGGTTAAACTACCTTATTTCAGAGTACTTATTGAATACGAGTTTATCTGTAAAGGCAATGACCCTTAGACATCACCTGAAAACATTCACCACAGAAAAGATAAAAGCAAATACTTAAAATAGTTGTATGAAGATATCTTCAGTCACAGCAATGTAGAGAAGGAACATGAAAAAAGTAGTAAGAGAATGGTCTAGGGGAAAAAAAGCTACAGATGCAATACGTAAATATATCGTGTTTAACAGTTTCCTTCTCCATACAAGGATTAAATTAGAATCTTTCACGGATTCCGCTCTCCCATCCTCCCAAGTAAAAGGATGTCAACCTATGCCAAAACATCCAAAACATGCAAAACCTGGCTGTAAATCCTGACTGAATCAGGCTGCAGATTTGTAAAATTACCTCCCACATCAAGAAAAGCCATGCTCATCAGTGAATACTCTGAGCAGATGCGACTAATAGCAAATAAAGTCTTTTCTCATAAGCACCTTCCATGAGGGGTGTAATTAATTGTTTTTCAAAAATAATCTCCATTTGAAAAAGACAACAGCTTTGCTGAAAGTTTCCATTTATTCACCTCTAAAGAACCAATCTTTCTGTCAGTGATGGCAGATGGGAAATTATGAGTTTATGGAAACAGGCCCAAAAAAGACCAGGTTTTATAAAGAGAGATTAAAAGATATTTAAGTTAATTCAGGAAGAACAACGCAATGCAGAGAAGACAGAACAGATGTGCGCTAAAACATGAATTATGCTTATATGATTATTACATGAATATGTAAAAATGATAAAAAAACCCTATGTACACCTAAGATTATTTCAAGGAATACTAATGTGGAAATTATCTATTGGACAGAAATCATATCTAAGTTCAGTGACTAAGTTTCAAGAAGAGCTCAGAATTCATCATGAACACTGATTAACAGACTCCTTTGTCATCACCTTAATCTACGTTATTGAATACTATCACATTACCATTAACCTAAAAGTAACAATTATATTACCTACATAGCAAACTGTGCCATTTGTTTGTGAAAAGCCCCAACTCATTTCTATCTCTCTCTCTCTCAATATTGTATTCCCCTCTAACTTCTGCTTGACATAATTAATGCTAAGTTAACTAGAACAGCTACTCATATTCTTATCCTACTGTATCATTAAGTGATGATTGTTATCATACACTATTTCCAAAGTTAACTTATTGCAAATACCATCCCTGGGGCCACTAAGTAAGTAGAGCAAGAGGTCCACTTATGGTAGTTCTCCAATATCCTCACTAGAATGGGCATTAGAATCGCATGCAATATTTCAGATCTGGTCCAAATTACTAGTTGATAGCCAAGTGGAACACTTCCATACCTAATTTTAAACTATGTTTATTTCTGTGACAAGAACATGATGTTGCAACATTGAATATACACACACATTGCTACCCATTCTGAGTCACCAATTTTCAAATGGCTTTCCATGTCCAATTATATTTTCTATATACATATACATATATTTAAACTTCCTTCTTTACCAAATCTAGAATATTTTAGGATTTAAAATTTGTTTTATTGTGTAATCACTGCTCTCGTCTTTCTAGACCCTCAGAAATGGGTTCACTTTACTATGTCTGTAACCTGTCATAATGCAGTACTAGAAAAAAAGCAATTAATTCTTATCTTCTACCTTTAGCCATTGAAGAATCAAATGAATAGGGATTCCCACTACTAACCTGACCTTGCACTAATCCAGTTTGATTATATTTTAAAGCACTAAAACTACTTTACTTATATGACTTAAGTGTTATGCAAGAATATTAACTGGCTGGTGGTTCCTTATGTCATTCTACAACTTTAGGAAACCCAAGTGCTTACCTTAAATGTCTATTTAACTACAGGCAATGTAGCACAGGCAAGATCACCTTCCAAAGGTCCCTATAAGGCTTCCAGAAACTAGCTAGGGAACTTCGGCACTTACTTCAGGAAAGGTGCTTCTTTAGCTGTCTAATGCTCAGGCTGGGTACCCATTTTAGGCAGATGAACCTGCTCAGATTTACTTCTGGCTTTCTCAATGTCAAGTCTATGTATTTTAAGAGCTAGAGGGGATTTTTTTTTCCCCTTCTGTTCAGTGAAAGGATTGGTGGGACCATTTTCTCTTCTCAGTAAGAAAAGCATTTTGTTGGCATACTCCAGTCAATAGCAGTACTTGTCAGTAAGGTAACATTTTCTTGAGTAAATGGGTATGTTTCATTATGGTTTTACCTCCAAAAATGAGTGTTCAGTCATGATTTGAGCCTATCTTGAAGTATACTTTGCTACTGTCACCTAGCAAAATTAGAGCACAAATAAATCTAACATATCTGACTAAGGGGTATGTTTGTCTACTCACGTGCAGTCATTGCAAGATTCATATATTCAAACACAGACTTCCCAAAGATATTAAAGCCTATATTTACAAAGTCGGTTACAAGAGTTCTATTTCTCTTACATATATTTCTATTTATAAATAGAAAAAAATTGCATCTTAAAAGTCTTTATAGTATCAGTGATTTTATTCTACTTTTTATTAAGTATGTTGATCTGTCAGCTTAAAATAAATATATTAACATAGTTAACTACCTGCGGGTCCGTGGAGGCTTTGGTGGAGGAGAATCCTGTTTCTCAGCATCTGAAGAACTGACAGCATTCTCTGTATTATTTTCATCCTGATTAAAAGAAAAAGCTTTTATTCATGGCTGTAAAGCTGATATACACAACACTTAAGCTGTAAGGTCCAAAGATCCATAATAATACTTGAAAATAATGTATGACAATATTACATATTTTTGGCTACCATATAGAGACCACTTTCAAAATTCTACTCTATATTTGCATTATTTTATATCTTGCTTATCCAAATTAAAATTTTTATGACTAAACATTTTGTTTTGCACGTAATTGTACAATTCACAAGAAAAAATTCTCCAAAACTAATCATTCAAGTTAACAGTGAGCAAGCTCCCTTATGGACTCCGAATTATTCATACTGAAAGCACTGATTTTCCAGTCAGTCTAATTATTTTCACTTGTACAATCACTCCCTGAAGAGTAATCTACAGTTCAGTAAAGAAAATAAGAATTTCAGCTACTGTAAAGTGGCAAGTTGATAAGATTTAACACCTTGTTCTAAAACACTTTCAAATCATCTACCACTTGTGTACAATGAAGTTTAACTCTGCAAAGCATGAAGATTTTTATTTTGTTTTAGGAAGACCATAAATATAAGACATAGATTTTACACATGTATATATTTATAAATATATGTATCCATACATATTTGTATGTTTATACTTCTAAAATATTGTTGTGGGTTAACCCATAGGCAGCTAAACGCCACAAAGCCACTCACTCATTTCTCCCCCCTCTCCTGGAAGAGTAAGAGGAAAGGCAAGAAAATTTGTGGGTCAAGATAAAATTTAGTAAGCAAAGGAGAAGCAGGAAGAGAGAGAAAGAAAACAAGTGATGCAAAAGCAATCACTCACCATCTCCCACAGGTAGACCTATGCCCAGCCAGTTCCTGAGCAAAAGATGGCTAACCTCACTAAATCCCCTCTTTTCCCTCCTTATTTCTGAGCATGATGTCACATGGCTGTGTTTGGTTTGTGTGCATGGTGGGGTTTTCTGTAGCAGGGGAGGGGGTTACAGTGGTGGCCCCTGTGAGAAGCTTCTTGAAGGTCCCCCGGCTCCAAGTCAGACCCACCTCTGGCCAAGGCTGAGCCAATTAGCAGCGATGGCTGCGCCTCTGTGATCATGTATTTAGGAAGGGGAACCTGGGAGGTGGAGCTGTGAAGGAAACACCTATGCAAACACAGAAGTCCATGGAAGAAAGTGGGGGGAATGGAAGGGAAGATGTGCACTGGTGCAGAGACTCGCCTGCAGCCCGTGCTGAGAGGGCAAGCTGCCCCCTGCATCACCCATGGATGTCCAAGGTGGAGCAGATGCCTCCCTGCAGCCTGTGGAGGCCCCCATGCTGGAGCAGGTAACTGCACGCGAAGGAGGCCAGGACTCTGTGGGAAGGTGCCCCTGCTGTTGTAGTTCATCACTGGGAGGACTGCAACACACAGGAGGGACCCACAACTGGAGCAGCTCAGGAAGAGTTGCAGCCTATGGGAAGGACTCATGTCAGAGAAAGTTCATGGAGGACTGTCTCCTGTGAGCAGGGGAAAAATAGGAGGAGTCCTCCCCCTATGGAGGAAGGGGCAGCAGGACTGACCGTAACCCACATTCCCCACCCTCCATGCCGCTGGCGGAGAGGAGGTAGAGAAACTGCAAGCAAAGCCGAGCCCAGGGAGAAGGGAGGAGTAGAAAAAGGTGTTTTTATGATGTGGTTACACATCTCACTGTCCTACTCTGTTAAGTGGTGGTGGTATTAGTGTTTAAATTAAATTAATGTTCTTTTTGTTTCCCTAACAAGTCTGCCTTTTACCCATGACCATAATGGGTGAATCACCCCTCCCTGTCCTTATCTCAATTCCTGAGCCTTTTGCTTTATTTTTCTCCTTCCCAGTCCTGAGGGAGAAGGGGGGCGTGAGATGCTGCGTGGTGCTCAGTTGCCTTTTGGGCTCAAACCCAGAGATGTAATAGAATATCTCTTTAGTTAATTCGGGTCATCTGTCTGGTTGTGCCCCCTCCCAACCTCCTGTACACACAAATCCCACCTCAGTCCATTCACTGGGAGGGCAGACTAAAAAACAGAGGCAGCATTGACACTGTGCAAACATAGCTCAGCATTAGCTGGATCATTCCTGTGCCATCAGCATCATTTTGGTCACAGACCTAAAACACAGCACCCCAAGAGCAGATATGAATAATAGCAACTCCAACCGAGCCAGACTCAGTACAAATATATATAAACTTTTATACATATGAGTAGAACATGCAAGAGTCTACAGCTGATATACCATCTCCATACACATGCCACAGCCAAAGATCCAACAAAACTAAAGAGGACCTTAGGTGTTATCTTGAGTTTAATACATGTTTTACATAAAGGCTTTTCTTGCAGGAGTTTTCTTCTGAAAAGCAATTTTTAAAAAGAACCACAAACATACCAAATCTGTGCAATATATGTCAAAGCACAATACCAGATTCAAGCAAAAGGGTCTACTACCTGTTCAGACTGGGTGACAGAGACTGACTTTCCCTGGTCTTAGAGAACAAAAGGGAATCCGCTGTTAATTTCTGCTTCAAACGTGATAGCTGCATTTCAATTTGGTAAGTAATTTCAGCTTTGGAAGATAAACCATAACTAAGTTACCTCAATAGGTAATTACCCTCACTTAAATTTAGATTTATTAGTTACGTTTTTAATTCCCATTACTAGTCTTGAAAGTTATCGTACCACTGTCTGCTAGTGTGAAGAGTCTATTATCAAATTCTATTCCTCAGTGTACTAAGTGAAGCTTTTCCTGGGAAGAAATAAATTCTTTTCATCTTTCTTATTATTCTTCACTAACCTCCCCCATTAACTAGCTGTCCAATACAATATACGTGAAGTACTCCAGCAGAAATACCCTATTGTTCCTGTACCAATGGCTTGTGTCAGCCCTTTCAGACAAATTGCACAGGGAGTTCCCTGTCCTGCTGACCCCTGGCTGTAACTATCAAGATTTTTCTGGAGTGAGATTCATTTAGCAGATGAAAGCCACTTACATTTAGATGACCACAACTGAAGCTCCCATTGCAGTCAACCAAGTTTGGTTGGTTTTCATAGAACCATGGAATAGTTTGGGTTGGAAGGGACCTTTAAAGGTCATCTCGTCCAACCCTCCTCCAACGAGCAGGGACACCTCCCACTAGATCAGGTTACTCACTGCCCTGTACGACCCACCCATGATTGTAGGGATGGAGCACCTACCAAGCCTCTGGGCAATCTGTTCCAATCTTTCACCACTCTCATATTAAAAAATTTCTTCCTTATAACTAGTCTGAATTTACCCTCTTTTAATTTAAAAGCATTACCCCTTGTGCTATCATAACAAGCGCTGCCAAAACATCTGTGCCCATCTTCTAAGCCCCCTTTAAGTATTAAAAGGTCACAATAAAGTCCCTCAAGATCCTTCTCTTCTCCAGGCTGAACAACCCCAACTGTCTCAGCCTGTCCTCATCCGGCAGGTGTCCCATCCCTCTGATCATCTTCACGGCCCTCCTCTGAACCTGCTCCCAACAGGTCCATGTCTTCCCTATGCTGAGGACCCCAGAGCTGGACACAGCACTCCAGGTGGGGTTTCACCAGAGCAGAGTTAGAGGGGAAGAATCACCTCCTCCAGCCTGCTGGCCATGCTGCTTTTGCTGCAGCCCAGGGTATGACTGGCTTTCTGGGCTGAGAGTGAACATTGCCAGCTCACATGCAGCTTTCCAATCACCAATAAGCAACCAGTCAATAAGCTGGGGAATTAAGGTAACAGATCCATTGGCCCCACCGACTGCACCTGGAGCTCAGACATGCAGACCACATGCAAAGCCTCCATTCCAAAGAAAATTCTACCCTTTTCATTTCCAGATCCGAGCCTTTACGTTTTGCAACACTCTTGCTCAACTTGCTAAATAAATAGGAAAAAAAAAAAAAAAAAAAAAAAGTTATGTCAGAATACATTGTTTCTTTAAGTCTCTGTTACTTTTATTAATAATGATTTTTGGTCTTCCTGGGGTAATGCATAAAAAAACCTAATAGCTCTATCAGGTCAGCTGATCCTGTTGTACCTTACTGAACTAGGATTATTATCCGTTTGTTGGTTCTCTGAGTGAAGTATAGTGTGAACTAGATTTTAATACATTTAATGTACTGGCTTTTGCATCATTCTAGCTTCTTAATAAGCAACATTGGCTGCAAGTTAAACCTTCAGAGATTTATTGCATTAGTTCTACCTTAACAATCACTCAGCAAAAAGCGCTATCACCAAGACATAGTGTCCAAAAAGTCACTGACCAAAGAAGTCGTGACAAAAATGGCTAATGAGATAATAATAATAATAAAAAAGTATGAATGCTATGCTTGATCTGTAAACTGAATGCAGAACCTCATTATCTTCTCTAGGAACTTTTCAAGTCCTTCAACAGTTTTCCTTGACTTACTGAAAAACATTAAGGGCTCAAAGAACTTTTAAAATCTAGCTGAAAACTATTGGAGACATGCTATCTAAAAACACAACAAAACCAAAACCAACAAAAACCCTCACTTTTTTTTTTTTTCCAGCTCATTTATGGAATTAAACATTATGATGAGACATGGACACCCAACCCCTCTACCAGGCTCCTCTCAAATATGCAGAAAAGCAATTTCCAGCTTTTTGACATGAGGTAATCAATGACCATAGAGATAGTTTTGCCCTAAACATAGGTGAAAATGAATTATTTGCCCTCATTCAGGGAGAATACCATTCTGCAGGCTGGTGCCAAAGATTCTGAGGCTCACAGTATCCAACAGCAGCAATTCAGTTTCCTGCTCAATGGTTCTGTCATGCTCCTCCCTGCTTCTCTGGGTTCTGAAAAGTGAACTCTTAATCTCTCTCATATATCGTCATTCCTATGGATAGCACTAAATGCACTGATATTGTACTAAAGAGGTCCCCCTCATCATTAAGTACTAGCAACTAGAATTAGAAACTAATGCAACAGCATCCTGAGAACAGAGCGGGCTGTTTGGCTTGTTTCAGCACCACAGCAC